ATCCCTGTAAAGTAGCAAGCAGCCAGCCTCTTTCCACTTGCTTCCATTCCAAGTCTCTTGGGATGTAAGACACCTCTCCTGGCCAAAAAAAATGATCAGTAGAGATCAAAAATAATAATTTAACCATTCCAGGGTATCCCAATGAAAACAAAACCATCCATGCTATTCCTCTACTTACCTTCCAAAGGCCTAAACTTGAGTGAAATGGAAAAGCGTTCAATCTCAATTTTACAGATTAAGCCACTAAAGTACTTAAAGATGAACTGGAGATTGAAGACATGAATCAGCTTTTCCAGAGGACCCAGATTTTTTTAATTCCAAACACCCACATGGTGGCTCACAAACATCTGTAAGTCCAGTTCTAGAAGATCTAAAATATTTTCCTGGCCTCCGAGGGCACCAGGCATGCACATGGTGCACAGATATGCATATAAGCAAAACAACTACACACAAAATAATTTTTTTAAATGAACTGGAGCAAGGTAGTGGTGGTGCAGGCCTTCAATCACAGCACTCGGGACAGAGGCAGGAGGATCTCTGTGAGCTCAAGGCAAGCCTGGTCTACAAAGTGAATTGCAGGACATCCTTGGCTATTACACAGAATAATCCTGTCTTGAAAAAAAATAAAAAAAAATGAAAAAAAAAGATAACTGGAATTTGGGTACATTAGTACAAGGCATAGACTGAGGCAGGGGAATCACAATATCTAGCCTTAAAAAAGTTTTAATAAAGCTGAACCTGGCTGTGGAACAGAGAATTACTCAAGTTCCCCAAAGAGAATCCTTTCTTGTGACCAACAATTTGGCTACCTTTTATATAAAAGCAACCTTTAAATAGCTCCCTTCTGCTTACAGCCCTTCTAAATTCATTACTGTTACTCATTACTAGTTCACCAGCATTAGTCAGCACAAGTTGGTTAGTCACCAGTTTTAAACCACCAACCATCCCCTCTCCTTTCTGTTTTTCCTTTCCCTTTGGTATTTAACAACATTTGAGAGAATGAGTAACTATACCCAAGAAACCCTGCTGGGCTTTTCTTGTCCATCTGTGGTCTAAACTGCAACCTGAGCCCAATTAGTAAAAGGAATGCAACTCTTCTTGGTCACATGCTTCTCCATGAAAAGGAGGACACCTGGGTTTTAGGGACTAACCTTCAGATTCAGAGTTTCTTCTGTGTGTTTTATTAGCAACAGCTTGCATATTCATGTGATTTATCACTTTTTTCACGTAGTAAGTATTTGAGTCCCATTCTTTCAACCGGGGGGGGGGGTGTCCTACTCTAGGAATGGGAAATGATCCATGACAGGGTTCCTTCCGGTTTTTAAAATTTTTGGTCAAGTAAGGTTCAACAAAACCTGCTCCAACTTAACTTTTCATCTACAAAGCCTTCCCCAACCCTGTCATTACCATATCCAGCATACTGGAGTGAAAGAAAAGGGCCCGACGATGAATAATCCCTAGAGACCTTGTGGGGTATATCTGCCTCAAAGCAGATGCTCCACCAGAAACAGAAACGGAAGAAAAACTCCCAGAACCACAGAAGTTACCTATCAGTTTCTCTACTCTCTGGAATCATTATCCTTCCTAAACCATCCTACACCCTCTTCTCTCCCCAAGGGAGACCCCAACCTAAGGTTAGCTATTGTACTCTCAGCACCTAGCATTCGGATATACACACTAAGTATTTGCAAAGCCAAATCTTGACCTCCCACCTTCCCTTTAAGAAGACTGGGAGCAGGTTCTTCACCTACCCACACTCGTGGTTCCTTTTCTACCATCCAAGCAGCCTGGCACAGCAAAGGTGTGACAGTGAAAACAAATGACGATGCAATGTTCTCCAGTGAAAGCAGCGGTAATAAAAGCACTATCGAGAACTCCCAGTTTTCCTAATGTTTACAATACTAAGGCAATCTGTTATTGCAAGGACATCACTTAGTTCTACATGGACAAATGCCATCATGAACTGCATGGAATTGTAAATTGTGCTTTAGGAAAATGCTATATTGAACCAAGGGAGGATTTTCACATGTTACAACACTATGACAGGACAGTTTCTCCTTACATGTCTTAGCATACATAAAACCTGCAAATAGCAAAAAGCAAGAAGCCCCTTCTTGTGAACTCTAGCAAAATATTCAATTAATTGCTCGTCTCTCTCCTGAAATAAGGGCTAAAATAAGGGTAAGCTGTAAAATAAGACAAGAGGGTAGAAATCTATGGTGAGATGCACAGGCATTTGTTAAAACAAGTCTATATATGACAGCAAGGTAGTGGGGCACATTCATACTCATAGAATTCTTCAAAGATTGATCATGTATTTTTTTAAAGATACATACACATAGCCAGCCATGGTGCATGCCTTTAATCCCAGCACTCCGGAAGCAGAGTCTGATCAGCCTGGTTTACAGAGCAAGTTCCAGGACAGCCAAGCTACACAGAAAAACCCAGGCTTGAAAACCAAAAAATAAAAAGACACATACACAAAATGCAACAGACTTAGTAACTATCTCTCTAATCCAGAAGAGATGGCATACACTCAGGAGACTGACGTACAAATCAAGTCTGAGGACAGTCTAGGCTACATAGTAAGACCCTGCCTCAAACAAAAATAAATGACTCTTCGAATTATTTCTTCTGGGCCTATCATGGGCTCATACCTGTAATCTCAGCACTTGGAAACTGAAGCAGGATGATTGCTCGGAATCCGCAGCCAGCCTGGATTACAGTGAGACAGTGTCTCAAAGGAAAGTTTCTTCTGGAATACATCAGTCAATGGGGCTCATGGCTCCTACCTATCACCCTCACTTTGGAGGATGATTGGTCATGATCCTCACCTGACTGGAAGAATAAGAATCAGCTGACTAGCCTATCAGCTGTCAGGGCTTTAGGAAAGCATTTTCTCCTTCTCGTTGTCAACAGGAACAAAGCAGGTATCACTGCAACAGACTTGCTCCTACTGTGACCCTGGGAACCTTTTGCAACTTTCCTACTCCCTCAATGATTTGGGGGAGTCCCTGCCTTGTTATTATCCTAGGAGGACATCGAAAAAGAAAGGCACACAGTCCAGACAGGAAGAAAGCATTCTCTAGCACTAGCACAACCTCACCTTAGAGACATCCCATTAAGCAGCACAAGGAAAAAGTGGCCCTCCAGCACTCTAGAACCGCATGTGCTTCCCCAATAAGAGACAGAGAGGACAAAGGCAGATTTTTCTCACAGATTCTATTTGCCAGGCACTAAAGTGCCTGGGAGAACAGGGATCACCCCAGATGCTATAAGAGCATGCCTAGTCCATTTGCTTATAAAATGCAAAAAAAAGTGTAGAAATAGAGAAAGGGACAGCATTTCAATTCTTCCCCAGTGGGTATGTTTCTTGAAGTTTTTGATTCTGTAACAACACTTCTCAGACTTAAAATCAGATCACAGAGCCTACTATCAACATGCTTTCTTTGGAGGCAGGCCTATCTCTTCTCTGAGTTGGAGATAAAATCCATACAGAAGACTTGTGAAAAAACCCCACAGCACCCAGTGGGAAAACCCAGTACAAGCCCCAATGAACTCATAAGTCACCAATCCTTTCCTGGCTGCAAGAGCCCCTATTCTTGCCCTGTCCCTTTGCCTCCTATTGCCTGCAATACATTCTAGTGAGGCCCAGACAACTGCAGGAGAAAATATCACCATTTATCATGCTCGCCAGGTAGCAACTGAACTGCTTTCATCTGCCCCTCTAGCGTACAGTCTGGGAAAATGTAATTCTAAGAAGAGCCCAACAGGCATGTGGGGAGATGGATATGGGAGGAATGTGAATCTAAACCACTTACACTAGGATTTCAGATAAGTGGCTTCCATATTATCCAAGCAGGAATATCCTATATTAAAAATCACACACGGAAATTCCATTTATCATGTGTGACTCGATTTGATTTCTCTATGTTCTCTATATGTTAACTTTCCAAGAAAGGTTTTCAAAAGAACATTTGAGAAAAAGCAGCAGTAACTTCACAAATGAATGAAGAAAATGTGGTTGAGGGTACACACCCATGAACACATCACATACACATACACAGTGTGGGGGGATTGTACTCAGTCTTAAAAAGGCAGAAATTTCATCATTTTCAACTAACAGATGAACCTGGAAGACATCATGCCAATTAAAACAAGCAAGACAGAAGCAGACAAATATGCATGATTCCACTATAACGAGAAATCTAAAGTAGACACTCATTTAAAAACAAAGTAGAATGTGGTTGCTAGGAGATTGGGGGAAAGGGCTTTGTTTAAAGTGCACACTTGATTTTGCAAGGTGAAAACATTTTGAGATCCATGGCCCATCCAGGTGAACATGAAACATGATTATAGTGTACATTCAGATGACAAATCGACCTTACATTTATCTGTCATGGTAAAAGAAAAAAGACAAAAAAGTACCACCTTTGTTCTCCATTGTAGATTTGCTAAACCTGCATTTCAACATTTTGAAATTAAAAAACAAAAAGACAAAGATATTTGGCTGATGTCTTCTTGAAAATGAAACAGTAAGAATTAAGTTGCTTTGAAGATTCAAAACAAATCATTATAAAACATATGAAACTACTGCTTGGGACAAACTTTGTCATTTTAAGCACACATGACATTTTTACAGCAGGAAGAAGCCTGACATTTTTCTCAAATGGTATGCATGGTATGCTGATTTGGATTCTCAATCAAATGTGGCTTTTAGAAAAAGGATACATCACAAGACAGTCTTGGAAAGTAAACACTGTTGCTATTATAGCAAAGGCAGCAAAGTAAATCATTCATTTGTGGACAGAGAGAGGGAGGGTTAGTCAAACATTATTAGCCACATTCCCACTGTTTCATTGCTTCAAGCCTGGGTTCCCCCTCTACCACACCTCTTCACTGAACACTGATCCATCATGCATTTCTCTGAATTACACAAGTCACTCTTGTTATGAACAATAATCAAGAGCTAGTGGAGCAAAAAAGCCAAGCAAACTTACCTAAGCCTTCCTCTTGAGACTTCAAATTGCTTGCTAGATCTTGGCATGCTCTATGCTGTTGCTCCCGTCACAGCAATGTTGTACACATTTCTATAGCCTAGAAATCACAAAATAAGTCAGTTTCCCAGTAGACTGGGAATCCCTAGCATTGGGGTTCTAAGATTCACAAACACACTCTCCAGAACATTTACCCAGATTACTTATTTAACTATGTGAAGCCATGAACAAGACAGGAAGGGTATTTGCTTAGTTTGTGATATGTACACCCCTTATTATGTTGTAAGACAAAACACCGAAGTAAAATTGCTTTCTGATATGTATATATGGGGATGCCATGATTTTTCCTACTTCAGCTCTGTCTCAATGAAGAAATACCCGCTGCCACTCCCAATAATATGGAGCTCGGCCCCAGAGGTACAAGAGAAAAAAACAAAAGCCTATAATGGTATTACCCTGGAAAGCCTTCAGTGGAGATACTAGCACAAGAAAAAGCTGTAGGAGGTGCCTATTGTGTATCACACTACCAGGAGTCTGAGGAATAAAGACAGAGACATGGAGAACAAGGCTTAAGGATGCAAAATGAAATGCTGAGGATGTGGGTGACTGGGCAAGCACTTGGATGACATGCACAAGGCCCTGCTGGTTCTCTCCAGCACCAAAGTACAGTAGTATATGATAAACAGTTCAAAAATTAGGAGCAACATGTGTACCCCAAAGCTGCAAAGAGGAAGGAGGTTGTGTCCCTAGAGATACTGTTTAAATTACTGACAAGAATAATTCGGGACAATTTCTGCTGCTTATAGCCAGCACTCCAGTGCTTGAGTAAGAGCCTTGAGTGAAAGAGCAAAGTCCACTCTGGTGTCATCTCCACTGAGGAGGCAGAGGTAGAAACACTATAGAATTCAAGGCCAGCCTGGGCCATAATTACATCCAAGAATGTCTCAAAAAAGCCAAAACTAAGGAGTAAGGAGTTGGCGACAATAATAATTCTCCATCTTCCTATCAATAGCAAAAGAAATCTCAGGCTTCCTCACTTAATGGTTAGAGTATGCACAGCTTCATCAGGGGGATGATGTACATGTCTTATTTCTTAATTTTTTAGTTGTCTGATAAAACTGTTATCTATCCTATACAGCATCATGTTCTAAAGTACACATCCTGTGTAATGGTTAACTATAGTTAGTTGCCAAATGCCTTTCTTTATACAGCTAGTAGCACTTTTGTGGTGAGAACACTAATTAACATCCATGCTCTTTGAGTTTTGCATTACAGCACCCCATCTACAATAGACTCCATTGCCTTGCTCTTCCAATCAAGCCACATGACTCTGGTCATCACTACAACCCATTAGGCACCTAGGCAGCCACCGGTACATTCTACTTCAGTGAGGACTATTTTTCATGCTGGGTGATTTAGAATTTACAGATCTAAATCTCAAGGTAACTTCTGGATGTGATAATTAAACAAACTCCTCTTCCCTTCTTGCCTGCTGGAAAGAGGTCACCTCACCATAATAAAAAAATAAGAAAAGCAATTACCAAGAATGAACAAAAGAGTTCACGGTCACCCACTGATGGCAGGAACAAATGACTTCAATGGAAGTACATGAGGGGAAGAAATAAAAGGAAAAGAAGAGGAGGTCACCATGACATGGACTGAATGAGGACAGGAATGAACAGGGATGTATACAAGAAACCTTGCTTTTTATGTTGAATGAGTTAATCTATCTTGTATCAAATCTTTCCTCAGGTTCTTCTGCACACAAAAGTGCTTTGAAACTTTAACACACCCACCATGTGATACAGTAGGACCTCTCCGTACAGTTCTCAGTTCTCAATGTCAAACTGACCTCATTTTTTAAGTTATTTAATACCAAGTAAGCACTCTGGACAGTGAGACACCAGCATGGTCATCTCAATGACTGTAGCTATGACCACCATCCTCAAGTGAGCTACTACATATTGACCAGACAACAGTAGGTTTTACTGGCTCAACTTCTCTCTCCTCACAGCTCCAATGCCTCTCGCTGTCAGCTTGGCAGCTAACTTTCCTTAGCCAGGTGCATCACTACAGACTTCTTAACCAAAAATAATAATGGGGAAAAAAACCCTCAGGAACCCAATGGATGAAGAAAGTAGCAGATTAGTCTAGAAAAAAAAAACGTATTTAGAATGAATGAGAAGGAAAAGAGAAATTAAGCAAAAGTTCAGAGAAAAGGGGAAAGAAGCTTAGCTCCAAAGCCAGGCACAATAGTCCAGGGCTCCTTGTATTTGTGTCCTTCTGTAATCCCCTATTAAATGCTTTTGCTAACTTTAAATGATTAGAGCAAAAGTAACCTGCTAGTTATAGGCCTAATCTTAAGAAAGGTTGGTGGGGTGGTGAGATGGCTCAGCAGGTAGAAGTGCTTGCCATTCTATCCTGATAAGTCTTGAACACACACACACTTACTTACATGAGTAATACATTTTCAACTGTGCTTTATTTATTCAATTTTAAAAAGGCTGGCAGCTTCCATTTTTCTGCAAGCCTTTGAAGAACTCTGCTGAAAAGATCACATACGAAGGCACAATTAGTGGGTTTTTGGGGAAGGGGGAGATTTTGAGACTGGGATATTCTGTTCCCTTCACTGAGATCAGCCTTTCTTTCAGCAATCTATATCAATGGCACCAGGCTTATAGATAAGTCCCAGATGCTACGACTGCAGCCTCATGACAGACGCTAAGAAAACCAAGCAGAGCAGGAAGATGATTCAGTTAATAGCTTCTCACCTAAGTCATAACCCACGTAAAAAGATGAACATGGCACCAGGAAAATGCAATCCCAGCACTGGGGAGGCAGACATGGGTGGTTCCCATAAGCCAGGTCCAGGTTCAGTGAGAAATAGTGTCTCAAAAGATAAGATGGAGCACAGTCGAGGAAGACACAACCTCAGCTTCTGGCCTCCACATGTCTGTGTACACACCCTCATCACAACATGTGGAATATGCCTCTTAGGAAAGTGCAAAGACTTTAGACGTTAAGCAGCAAGAGTACAGAAGGAACCTTAATCCTGACTGTGCACTATAAAGACTCAGGCAATTTAAAAGTGCACTTCAAAACACACAGACCCCATACCCACCTTGGTGGTAAAATCATCAGAAATTCAAGGAGCAGTGTATTTTTAGCAGGCTACAAAATCTTAGATGGACCTAATTGCAGTCATGAGATTAGAACATTAGGAGTGGATGACATTGAAAAGGAAGGGGGTAGTCACATAGCTTCAGTGGTAATGCCCTTGCACTGTATGAAGACCAGAGTCCAATCCTTAGTGACACACACACAAACAAAAAGCATAATTTTATGTAGTTTAAAATCAAAAGGGATTATGTGGCTCCCCAACCTATCAAAAAAAAGAAATAAAACTCAGGTGAAAGACACCCCAAGATTCATGTTGCTTCTTGTTTGTTTTAAACAAACTCATGACCAAGGGCTACTTGAGGCCTGAGGTTATAGCTTAGTGGCACATGCCTTGCATGTGTGAAGCTCTAGGCTCAAATCTCCATCACCTATATAGAGAATGAAAGCAATACAATTAGTGCTGAATTTCATCTGAAGAACATACTATGGAACTGACATATTATGAAGAGAAATGGAATGTCATTGCTTTTTTCAACTTCTCTAGTGATTTTATTCAAACCCAATAATGGAAAAATCACTCAAGACAACATTTTAAATCACACTTAACAAAAAGCAGTCTCAGGGCCTGAGGCTTGAAACTTAGTTGGTAGGTAGAGTGCTTGCTTGGCAGACATGAACCCTGGATTCCATCCATGGCACCACATACAGCAGTCATGGTGGTGTATATACATAATCCCATCACTCTGGAAATGGAGAAAGGGAAATTTAAAGAATTCAAAGGCATCCTCAGCTAGTTAGTTTGAAGCTAGCCTGAGCTATGACACTGTCTCAGAAAGGGAGGGAGGGAGGGGACAGACAAGACTTTTGTTTCCCTTATTTTCCATTTTCTGTGCAAAAATCATTTCTTTTTAAGTGTCACTGCTTCTTGCTTTATTTTTCAATTTCTTTTCCTATAGAAAATAGGTTGTTACTATAGCAATATTTTTCCTACCCTGGTATAATTTCCCACTCATTTCTTCTAGGAGTTTCTGCACAGAGCAAGCACACAAATCTGTTCCAAGCTGCTCACAACATTAGGATCCTTGGCAACATCTAGAGATGAATATATCTTCAAATTATGGGAATGGTTAGCCAAATGCCACAGTTCTGAACGTCTCTGAAGTACTATCTGGGCTATATGTATCCCAGATACGTCAATTCTTAAGGCATCTCTATCCTAAAACTACAGAAGGCTCCAGCCGTTAACTTGCTAAATGAGCTTGTCAGTCCTCCAGATTGAAGCTAACTCCATTAATTCCCCGAAAACAGTTACAAACAAAAACAGTATAATCTTTACATGATTTTGAGAGTGTCTTTAGGATGACACCAGGAAGAAGTTATGTATTCACATGTACATGAACTTCAGTTTCAATTCCTAGTGACTCAGAAAAAAAAGTAAAACAACACACATTTGACTAATAAAATTACACCTTTGTCCAATAAAGCCAGTATCTGGTAAGAACATCACCTTCAGGACTATAAGAAGGATCCATTAGTTGGAAGAAACAGATGCACAAAGCAGCAAAGGTCATTTAACCAATGGTCAGGGCTTTTATACAAACACATAATTTGGCAAAATATTAAGTGGCCTCTGTTCTAAAGAAAAAAAATCAAAATGTACAAAGTTCTTTTCCCAACCATACATGCACACCTACAGACCACTTCCTATCTATACTATTGGTACCTGGGAAGCTCTACCTTGCAGCACAGAATACCATGAATCGCTGCTTCCAAGTACATACCCATTTGGCTCCATATAGCATAGTTTGTATTAAAACCAAGCGGAAACCTTAGGATGGCTGCGTATCTGGAAATTTGTAAAGAATTTAAGTTTTATTCATTCAGTGTCCACACTGTCCTGTCAGTGAGCCAAGTCTCTTGACCAACGATCAACACAGAGAAAACAATAACAAGATTACTATCAAAGACAAAGAACAAATA